TACCTCAATAGATTCGTGCACTTACGGGTATTTTTAATTGGTTGTTTGCACATTAATTTGTGTCCTTTTACGAGTACAACAACGGGAGCTGAAGCCCATGTTTGAAGGCATCGGTGAAGAAGACCACTCCTTTCTCATTGTCGCTCAGAGACTCTAACGGCCCTGGGATTCGCATCACAACCGAATCCGGAATGTGATACTCGGCCCGTATCTTGGCTAGCTCAGCCTCGGTCAGCACATTCCGCTCTAGATGATCTACTCCAAACACCAGATCCTTCGGCTTCGCCATCGGGATCCGTTGCCTGCTCGCAACAACGCTCAGCACTCCCTCCCCTGGAGCGGCCACTGAGACTTCAGCCTCAGTCCCATCCACTCCACGACCGGAGGTTGATGGTTGACCACTCCCCACTTCAATCACCTCAACACTCGAAGTGCTCCCAGAATCGGCACTCTCACGCTCCTCGGTGGAGCTCCCCAAGGACGATTCATCCTCGAACGCCCCCGGACTACGACTACGCTCGGATTCGGTATCTGACATCTAGAAACACAAACGAAGGGAAACTAAATGCCATGCTAAAATCCAAGTCCCATTCTACCTCCTAAACACTTATGTTCATGCTTGTTCATACATATTCATGCAACAAATTGACGATTTGATTCATCAACAAACAAAACACGGCCACATACCTTGTTTACACGGTGTTTCCTTCTCGTCGGAAATCGCCTCCGCCTTGATAAAGCTCGCCGGAAATCGCCTACAACGCCTTTGCACAGTCGCCGGAAATCGCATCTCACAAGCTCTGGTTGCTCTTAAAAACTTCCAAGTATTCCAACTATCATCCCTTCCTCAGTTTTATAAGATGAACCTAGCATTGGGAAACGAAGCGACGTATCGGGATACGAAACGACATGACTCTCCGCAGCCCTGCCAACACGTGGCACGCATGCACGGGAAAGTCCAACCGCCAAAACCCGAAACGTTTCCACTTCCCATATGCTTGCAGCTATCGCTATCTTTTCAAGCATAACTCCACCAGCGAACGGCAGGCGCACATTGATGAGTTTTCACTCACCTCTCGTGCCGAACGGCAGGCGTTCCCAACACCAGACTTACACTAGCCTCTCAGAACATTCGGCACCTCTTGCCGTCTCTTTTCCAAACTTACTCGCTCGGGCACTTGGGGGACTACATGACCACCATCAGCAAGCCACGAAGGCAGGAACGACACCATCGTGACCGAGTCAGAATGCCGAAGACACGTTCAAGTCCCCAACCAAGAAGTCGCTTCTCAATCGGTAACTTGGGGGACTACTGTTTGTACCGTATCTGACCCTCCACTCATACTTTGACACGTGGATCAGTAAAACCCCCAATGGCCCAAGGCAGCGAACAATCGGTATAGGCTACTGATGACGCCTAGCGGAGTCTACAATCGGTATCGCCTACCGATTCTGCGGAGCAAACCTCGAAGGCCACGCCCAAAATATCCAAAGACTCGTGTCAACCTCGTAGGGCCCTCCCACAAGTCCCACATCGAAATTAAGTACTAAGAGCATACCAAATGCCCTCTATAAATAGGCCCATTCACTACAATACAAGGGGTAAGACTTTTCAGCTTGACTTTTATGCTAAATACATTGTCAGTAGTAAAAGCTCTTAGAAACAAACTTACTTCGGCATCAGAGGGTCTTAGGCTGGTTCCACACCGGTTCCATAGACCTCACGAGCCTCGGCTTCCTTCTACTCAGGATCAGCATCCAAGGACAAGAAGAATCTGTGTCAAGCACTCAATCGATCTCTAGATCGTCCACATCACTTGTAAGTTGCACTCATCTCTATCTATTCAGTTTTAGTGTCAACACCGTGTGTTCAGGTATGCCGGTGAAAATTTTTAAAAGTTGAGTATTAATTTAAAACGACCCCTAAAGATTGGGTACTTTTATGTAATTAACCCTTAAGTTTATATATATATTTTTTTTTTATTTTGATTTGAAAATAAACTATTGTTTTAATTAAATTTTCAGTACACGTGGAGGTCAGTTTTGCAACATCAACTTAAAAAGTGGGACCAATTTTTTCCACATCACATCAGTACTTAACAGAATTCTTAACGGTCTTATTAACGGAGGGGCTTGGATGTAGGATCTCTATGAGTTTGCAGGGTCTTCAAAACTTGGGTACCAACGTGAAATAACCCCAAAAGTTCAAGGGGTTTTATGTAGTTGATCCTTTTAATTAAGAAGTTTGATAGAAAAAGCCTTTTATACAACAACTCTAATCATAGCTCTGATTGTAATCCTTGTTTTATCTCTTAATCAATTTAGCTACTTTGCTTCTGCTTACCCCAACATTGACTTGGTATATGGAGCAAGATACAATATTGTCTTGAGGCAATTCCTCAATGCTCAAACATTTATATATGTCAAGAAAGATTAATTTTTTTAGAACCTTCAACTTGGTAATACATGAATAACGAAACCTTGGGCAGACTCTTCAATTACGTGGAGTTGTTTCTTATGGAAGGTAACTGAAATCCGCTCTAATATTATTCTCTTTAGGTTAGGTAAAGAACTCATTAGCTTGAAATTACTTAAGTCAGCTTGTAAGAAACCATAATTTGTAACTATTTAGAACCTTCAACATGGACATTTTCTTCACCAACTTGGGTAATACGTAGTTCTCTGTCTGAAAATTCAGAACTAGAACCTCAGCTTTTGGTAGATGCTTGTTGTGCCACTTTGCTGAGGACGATCCAACTGCAAACCATATGCTATATGGTGTACAGTGTGGAGAGAAATTGATGTGAAAGTACTATTCAACCCTTATGTCTCGTTTGGTATTTAGGACTAGGATTGGATTGAATTGAATTGGATAACTCGCTGAATTTAAGGCAAGTTGAAAAAAGAATGGAAGAAATAAAACAACATAGCCTAAAAAGAAAATGAAGAAAATAGGTCCGAATTGTTTTACAAGTGCTTAAATCGGTCCTATAGGTCCAAAAAAATACAAGGCTGTATATTATCTTAGGTCCAGCTACATTTTTATTTCCCATGAGGTCCATGTTAAGTATTAAAATGCCAAATAAATTGCAATGATGCCACAGTTCATTCTTTGTATTTGTAACAAGAACGAAGGAGGCAGAGAGATTTCCGTGAGCTGCTATGTTACAGCTTCTTAATTGATTGAATGGTAAAAGTTTGAAGCTATTTCCTATTTCAACACAAAAGAGACCCTAGCCAAAGTAAAGTAAAGAAAAACCAAACCAGAGAGCAAAAAGGTTTCAAATAAGCGTATTTGAACAATAACTTATCAGGTCTATTCTGCATTTTATTTTTAAGGCAAAGGAAGTCTTCTCAGGCTGATTACTCTCCGTGCACTGCTTTCAGTATACCTAGAAATTTTTGTAAGAGAGTTATCCAATTCAACAATAGGACAATCAACATTAGTATATTCTACTGTTTTCAAGATAAATGGTTTTAAAGAGTATAAGCAGGAGTCAGGAGCGGCCCTAGGGGTGTGCAAGTGGTGCCACAGAACAGGGCCCCAAAAAAAATTTATGTGTATATTATGTATATTAATATTATAGATATTATATATATACTTGAGCATGCAAAAAAGTAACACAAAGTGTGTATTTGGTTGAGTTGGAATTCATACCCTTGATTTTAGTATGCAAGTTGGGTTCAAGTCCATGTTGTGTCATGCAGTAATTGTATTTTTACATTTCTACTCCTTTTTTTTCTTTATTGTTAACAACAGAAAAAAGAAAAAGGAAACACGTCAAAGAAGAGGAAGGCAATATATACAAGCTTTCTCCAATAAATTTTTTTTTGAATCAATCTTTGAACGTTTAACTAAATAAAGATAACTATTATTAGATTAAAGACTAGTTATGTCAGAGTGTTCATTGCGTCCAGCTATTTAAGAAATAATAAAAATTTCCTGAATTATTAGTTCAACTTTTTGCTTTTTCTTTATCATTTCTTCGAAAGACAAAAGTATGTTCTACACCGCGTGTACGTTTGCTTTACAAGAAACGTAAAGTTGTTGGTTACTTTATCATTTACTCCACCGCGTGTACGTTTTTTACCAGTGACGCGGAGTTATACCTCTTTTGTTTTTAAAGAAATATCATATTTTTATAAAGATTTATTGAATAAAAAAAAGAAAGAGCATTTGATGACTGCTGTTAGTTTTGAAAGGTCTTTGCGAGTTTCGTTAACGGCTCGTGGAATTTGCTGGGCCAATTCAATTCAATTGCGTCCGTATCGTGATTGGCTGGGTCAAAAGTCGGTCAAGGGTCGTCCAACTATATTTATATTAACATTGGCACTGCAACCAAGAATTGCAAACAACGTAACTTATTTATTTTCTTCTCCGGAAACAGTTTTTCGGATTTCTTTCTTGCGCCGTCGGCATCATTAACAACAAAGTAAGACAAGATTGGGATTTCTTTCTTTGATCCCAAGTTACGTCAACTTATTGCTTTTTTTCTTCTTCTTCTTATCTTAGGCTTTGGATTGATACCAAACAGAAGAAGTCTGATTTTTGCATTGGATATTGCTTTATTCTTATGGCATTGGCAGCATGCGTGGGTGCTCTAATAGCAGCATTTCAAACGCTGCTTGATGCGGTTATAGCAGTGAAGGCGGAAGCTACCATGTTTAAGCCTCCCCTTGAAAATATCAAATCCACACTAGACTCCTTACAGCCAATGATCGAAGAGATAGAAAAATATATCTCAAAGGAGGGGCTAGAAAATTATGCAATGCAAATGGAGGAAGGGGTAAATCTTGTTCGCAAGTGCAGCAAGGTTGGTGTGTGGCGCTGCTGCAGGAGATACAGATACACCAAAAAACTTGATGAATTGGATAGATGTCTTCAAAGACTAGTGGATGTGTTGAAAGTGCAGGGCATAAGGGATGTCAGGGAGACCTTGGTTTCGTTAAGGAATATAGAGACGGTGCTGCATCGTATCGAAGGGAACTTAGTGATGCAAAATCAGTTTGAAAAAATCAATGGTTGGCCTGCTGTGCCTGAACCTCCACAGGTTACTGTCGGGTTGGATGTGCCAGTGAAGGAATTGAGGATAAAGCTTCTTCAGGATGATGTGTCAATGCTTGTGCTGACTGCTGCTGGTGGATGTGGGAAAACCACATTGGCAAAAAAGTTTTGTCAAGATCAGGAAGTAAAAGGTACGTATCTCAACCTTCTTTTTCTTTTTTAAAACTTCTTTTTTAGTCTAGTAATAGTGATATGGAAGGATGAAAATATCCTCCGTGTAGATAGTATCATTGCTCATATTTACACAATTGGAGACATATTTAAATGAGCTTCTAGTGACACCTTTCTTATATCTTATTTGGATATAGATAAATTCAAGGACAATATCTTCTTTGTCACTCTTTCGAAGAAGCCCAACTTGGACCTTATTGTACATGAACTATATCAACGGAAGGGTTCCCAGGTGCCTGCTTTCCAAAACGAAGTAATTGCGGTTAACTGGTTGCAACATTTTCTGAAGGAAACAGGACAAAGTCCTTTACTGATTGTCCTGGATGATGTTTGGTCAGGATCAGAGTCCCTTCTTGAGAAGTTTGATCAATTCAAAATGTCAAATTACAAAGTTTTGGTCACGTCAAGATTTGCATTTCCAAGATTTGGTTCTCCATATCATTTGGAATCATTGAATGATGAAGATGCAATGGCTCTTTTTCATCATTCAGCATCCTTGGATGATAAGACCTCTTATGCTCGGGAAGACCTTTCGAGAAAGGTGATTTCTTTGTCCGCAAAGCACAACATATATGCTTATTTATGTGTCACAGACGAGGGTCAAGAGATTATGTTTGCTTTTCGTATAATTACATATAGGGGTTTTTCTCTCTACAGGACGTCCATCTTTTAGATACAGTCCGTCTCTGAGAATTCCTATATATATATTTGTAAAACAACCATATATACATGAGTGAATAGTGAACACTTCCATTTACCATATCAACCTGCAAAAGATTATAAGTTCATTTTAAGTAGAAAATTACTTAAACCATTTTGTCATCTTCATGAAACCAATTTAGACACACTTGTTTTGGGCCTGCAACTCAAATAGTGATTGACTTCATTTGGGAAAATTGACTGCAGATAGTAGAGCTCTGTAAGGGATTTCCACTTGCCATTACGGAGGTTGGAAGATCACTTCGCGGCCAGCCTATAGAGATTTGGCGAAAAAAAGTAATGGAATGGTCTAAAGGTTCTTCTATACTTGCATCTAACAGTCATTTGCTTGCTTGATGCCTTGGATACAGATAAACCTATCATCAAGGAATGTTTCCTTGACCTGTGCTCATTTCCTAGAGACCAAAGGATCTCTGCTGCCAACCTCGTAGATATGTGGGCAGAGTTATATGGCCTAGATGAACCCAGTCTGTCCATTGCGAACCTCTACGAACTAACCACGCAGAGTTTAGCTAATCTTGTAGCCACAGGGTATGTAGGCTTCATGTTTCTCTTGTCTGCTACTATCACTCCACTTTTTCCTTTATACTCACTACTCGCTGCTGCTCTTAATTTTCTGTTCCAATATTTATATTGAAGAATTCTCTTATGAGCAATTATTATTGAACATCCAGGAATGAGAGAGAGCCGGATGGCTATTACACTGAACACTTTGTTACCCAACATGATATGCTTAGGGAGTTGGCTATTCATCAAGCGAATCAAGACCCAATAGAACAGAGAAAAAGACTAATTATAAAGACATGTGGAGACAATCTTCCTATGTGGTTGGCAGAGCAAAAGCATCAGCCCCTCCAGGCTCGACTATTATCAATCTCAACTGGTTGTCCCATCTTTCTCTCTTTAGTAAATACGCACACGTACACACAGACGCACACACATACTACGCACTACGACTTGAATAGTACTTTGGCGCATTTCCCACACTCACATCTTATATTATATTGTTTGCAGATGGAGAGTTCTCAAAAAAATGGCCAAACATGCAACTACCAAAAGCAGAGGTTCTAGTTCTAAATTTTGAAACAAAGAGCTACGCCTTACCCGAATTTGTGAAGAAAATGGATAATTTAAAGGTTTTAATAGTCACAAATTACGGTTTCTTACCTTCTGAGTTAAATAATTTTCAATTACTTGGTTCGTCATCAAATCTGAAGAGAATTAGATTGGAACACATTTCAATTCCTTCCATAAGCAAGAACCTCAAACATTTGAAAAGTGTACAGAAGATATCTTTATTCAGGTGTAGCATTGGTCAAGCTTTTGGTAAAGGTTCCATTCAAATTCTAGATGCATTACCAAATCTAGCCGAAATGCACATAGATTATTGCCATGATCTGGTGGAATTGCCCGCGGAACTTTGTGATCTTATTCGCCTTAAGAAGCTTAGCATCACCAACTGTCATAAGTTATCCGCCTTGCCTGAAAATATTGGAAAGCTAGTCAGTTTGGAAGTGTTGAGGCTCAGGTCATGTACAGATTTGTTAGAGTTGCCAGGCACGATTAGGAACCTTAAAATGTTAAACTTTCTCGACATATCCTATTGCTTTAGCATTAAGGAGTTGCCTGAACACATTGGTGAGATGTGCAGTTTAAAAAAGCTCAACATGAGACAATGCTCAAGATTGCAAGATCTGCCTGCATCAGTTTTGGACCTTGAGCAGTTGAAGAATGTGACATGTGATGAGGAGACAGAACTTTTATGGGAACCCTTCTTACCCCTTCTCAAAAACATACACATAAAGGTGGTCAAAGAAGATATCAAGCTAAATTGGCTCCACAAGCTTCCATCTTGAGATTTTTATTTTTTATTTTGTAAATAGTTGAGCTATAACTTTGTAAATAGTTGAGCTATAGCTTTGTTACAAACGTCTCTTATGTGGTCGTCAATGGCCCCACTACTTTCAGTGTGGAATTGTTACTAAAGTTTCCTAAAAAGAACACTTATAATTTCCTAGCAAATTACTAAATGTGGTCCTACTGAGGGTTTCCATCGGGATTTCCTATAGAACATTATATGGGAGGAGGCCCTCACCCAAAGAGTCTTGCAAACAACATATTCGTTTGCCATTGACGAGCGAGAAAAGCATATTGACTCCTTTTGCATTGCTTGCTTCCAAGCTTGTCCTAAGAGTCTCTCACTTGTTCCTCATTTGTAATATGCCCCTTGTCTTACAAGTTCAGATTGAAACAAATACAAACTTTTGTTGACATATTACCATGGGTCCAGCCCATGATGGAAGAACACTCTTTCGGTGAAATCAAAAGGGATATCATTGCCAACATAATGATGAAACCAATATAATATTAAAAGGACAAAATGATGATGCTTTTGGTGGGAGACAAGGTGCAATGATGGAGAGATTATTTGTCCAACATCATTATGGTTTTCTTTGGCATGCATGTGGATGTTCTTTGGAAATAAGAATCAGCCTTCTTTCATTTGGTTATATAATGGGCATGCAAGTGTGCATGCGGGAGAGAGAGAGTTTCAGTAGAGTGCTGCACCAGAGAAGAAGTCGAGAGGCAGAGAGTTGGAGAAGCCGTGAGACAGAAAGAGAAGTGTGAGAACACTGACAGCCATCAGCAATTCCACTCTAATATTGTGAGAGTGAGAGAGTTAATTGTGTACCACTCTAAGTGTGTGAGTGAGGTAAAATAGGGAGAGTATGTTGTGAAAATGAACAAGACTTTCACTCACTCCCCTAATAATCTTGTTGTTGATGGACTTTGTGACACACACAATGATGGATGAATCACACACACACACACTTGAGAAACCAACCAAGCACAAAGTGACACAAGTATTTTAGAGGTTCAGCAAATTGTCTACATCCTCTTGGTGATCCCCTTGAGAAATTCACTAATGAAAGAATAAGTTACAACTTTGGTTTACAAAGAAACCCCCTTAGAACTCTATTCTCTCCCAAGCTCTCTTTTCTCTCTCACCCCTTGCTCAACACTTTGATGCACTTGTGAACACTCTCACACACTTGGTGTTTCCCTCCTTGGTGTCTAGACTCTTAGGACCCAACTCAGCTCCTATCTTGAACTGATTGTGTCTGCCGCGCAAATCTCACGGCCTGGAGTTCCGGGCCGAGGGGATGTGCGTTGACACGCGGTTTCCTGCTTTTGGGTGCGGTGCGGTTGTGCGCGGGCGTGCCAGCACGGTCTACCGTGCGTCGATGTGTTGATGAGTGTTGGATGAATAAGTGGTGCGCCTGTTTGAACTTGTCTTCCTAATCAAACGATTTTAGCCGAGAGAGGAACTGGTCTCGGCTGTTAGGTTCACGGCCTGAACTACAAGGCC